GGCTCGGTACAATCCACCCGAGGACTTACATCCGAAGCTGTTGAGATTGACTCGGGTCCCCCAGAAACCACAACAGAAGTTATTTGCCCATCGGACCGTCCTTATCCCACAACTCTATCAAAAGCTGACACTTGGGAGTGTGACGATAGGCGTTCTGAAGAAATTTGACAAAATAGTTCGATTTCCCGCACGGAAGGGGTTGAGGCTTCTGGTGGACGTACCAACTTCTTTTTTCCATGCCCCTTATAGAAGTGGGGGCCTCGGGTTACCATCTTTAAGATGGATAGCACCAATGCTTCGTTTGAAGCGATTGAGCGGAATAAAATGGCCTCACCTGAGCAATCCGAGGTAGCCAGCTATTTCGTAGAAGACGAAATGTGGAGGGCCCGGGATAGGCTTCAGGCTGGAAGTGAAGAGTTGTTAACCCGTCTGCAGGTAAATTCGTACTTGGCAAATAGATTGCACACGTCTGTTGATGGTTGCGGGCTCCGTGAAGCAGAGCGTTTTACTCCGCAACACGGGTGGGTTAGTCAGCCCACGCGTTTGCTAACAGGAAGGGAATACACAGAAGGTATCAAACTGCGGATAAATTCCCTACCCTCAAGGGGTCGTACTACGAGGGGAAGGCCCGAATTGGGGAGACTGTGCCGTGCAGGATATGATGCTTCCGAAACAACAAACCACATCTAGCAGCAATGCTATCGTGCTCATGGGAGGAGGGTAGCTCGGCACGACGGCGTAGTAAATTTGCTCAAGAGGGGACTTGAGCGGGAAGGCTGTGTCGTTCATGTTGAACTAAGTCTGCAGGGCGAGACCGGATTGAGTAAACCTGAAAGAGTAGCTATCTGACAAAATCACATTTATGTGATCGACGCACAGGTTGTGACTGTCGGACACTCTCTCGACCATGCGCATCAGCGTAAAGTTGAGAAATACGAGACACAGGACATACGGACAAATTTTCGGAGACTTTTCGGCTTGTCACATATTGTCGAGTTGTCCATTCCGCCACTGTGAACTGGAGGGGAATATGGAGTGGTCAGTCGGTAAAACGATTGATCGCTTCAGACCTCTTCAGCTCTAGTGATATCAATATCATTAGTGTCCGGGTAATCAGTGGTGGTCTCTGGAGCTGGCGACAATTCATGTATCGGTCGGGATATACGCATGATTGGACTTAATCACACACCAAGATCATACTATAACAAGCTTGCTGCCGTAGCATAAGACCTAAAAACCGGCATAAAATTCGCGGATATAAACGAGGAAGTTTTTAGTACGTAGACGTCGCTGGGGGATACAAGTTTCTCCCTCAGTTGATGAATCGTGCATGCACACTCAATTGGATTATATTCCAGTGGAGAAATAAAAACACCAGCTACATCCAGAGTTGTGTTAAGAAGATTTACTTACATTAGCAAACAAAAAAAAAGTATAGATTATGATTACATTACACGTACGCCAAAATTCGAACCATAAGAAGTTGTGTACCTCAATAAAATTGATAAATATGCAACGGACTTTTATACCCTTGCAGAGGGTATTATAATTTTGTCCAAAAGTGTGCACCGCAGTGAAGGAGACATCTCCGACCCTATAAAGTATATATATTCTTGATCAGGATCACCTCATGTCATGAGCATGTCCGTCTGTCTGTTTCTACGCGAACTAGTCTCTCAGTTTTAAAGCTATCGTCTTGAAACTTTGCACACACCCTTCTTTCCTTTGCACGCAGTATATAAGTCGGAACGGCCCGGATCGGCCGACTATATCCTATAGCTGCCATATAACTGATTGATCGGAAATGGTATAACTTTGGTGTTTTTAGAGTTAGAGAGTTCAAATTTTACATGAGAGCTATTTTTGGCAAAATAATACGACATGCCAAATTTTATAAGGATCGGCCGACTATATCCTATAGCTGCCATATAACTGAACGATCGGAAATGACCCAACTTTCGTGTTTTTGAAGATAGAAAGCTGGAACTTAGTACAGATTTAATTCTTGGTCAGTTGATCCAACCTACCAAATTTCATTAGGATCGGCCGACTATATCCCATAGCTGCCATATATCTGATCGGAAATGGTACTTGGTATAAATATCAACTTTCGTATTTTTGAAGATAGAAGCTTGGGACTTTTTTTAGATTTTTTATTGTAATTGGTTTTATTATGACGTAATCATAAGGATCGGCCAACTATATCCGATGTTTGAGATATATATCCGGTTTTAGCTGCAAGGGTATATCAACTTCGGCTCCGCCCGAAGTTAGCTTTCCTTTCTTGTTTTTTAATAACTCTAGATAATTTCTAATTAAAATTTAGAATGGAAACAGTCAAATTTGTTCCCATTGTTTTACTAAAACCTCGCCGGAACCCACTCCAAACGCTAATGAAGCTTTTTCCACATACATATCATATATCAACTTTCTACTAAATGCCTCTTCTTGCGTTCTTCTTTGGACAAACGGTGCAATAAGATGGGGTCAGATAAGAAACCAATACATTTACATTTACTAAAACCAGTCATTCAAATAGCACAAATAGCAAAGAGTCAATTAAGCTAATCAAAATGCCTTAGAAATGGTGGATCTCATTCTGGGGCAGGAAAAATTTTTCTTTTTAAGTTTTTTTTTTTTTACAGATTAAATTGATATTCATAACTGAAGGTGGAAAACTATCAACACGAAGCTTTAACTGTTAGATGTAAAAAAAGCTATAAATTGAAATTTAAACAAAAATGTATCATTTGTGGAAATCCTATAAAATAAAAATACATTTCATTTGTAGCTTAATGGAGTAATACAAATTAATACTAAAAATGTATTTAAGCTTTTTTGGAATAATATATTTAAGTGGTATTTGGTCATTGAGAGTTTTCAATCCTGGGAAATGAACAGCAGAATTTAATTATTGTACGTTATATTTTATTTATACTGCAGGCAGATGAAACTGGGATCAACCATTACGATCATCCAGTTTATGGTGCTAAGCAGTGACTAATAACATGAAAAAAGATGTGGCCCGACTAGACATACGCGAAGCTAAAGCTCTCGATAGCGGAGAGGGCGGCCCGACATAGTGATTGCAAAGCTAAAGCTCTCTTAAGGGGTTATATACCTTCTTTGTCAAAGAAAAAGAGGAAAGTTCGGATTTTTTTTAGGTATGTAGCAATTATTTAATTACACGGATGTTTTAATTTTTTGACAGTACACTTTATTAACAATGTTTGTGCAAAATTTGGTGGAAAAATATTAAATAGTTTTTAGAGCCTTGCGGTGACAGTTCCCCAAGTCGAACAGGTCAACTGAAACCATAAAAGTAAAAAAATTTCATTAGTTTAGTGTAATTCCTTGTGCTTGAACGATCAATTAAAAAAAATTTTTTTTATGCCTACAAGAACGTTTTATGCTAAATATGAACTTTTTGGTCTCTAGAAATTTCACAAAAAAATTCATTTCGGCGAAAAAAAAGTTTGTGCGTGAAAAGTCGATCGTTCAAGCACACAAGAATTTCATTACGAACATTTTAAAAAAATTTGAAGTAAATCGGTTCTGTAGTTTTAACAAAAAAATAAATGCTGTGTTTCTCCTTTAGTCGAGTTCTGCCGAGATCTGAGACTATTTGTCCGGCCTTGTTAAAAATTCGCTCGGACTCTGTGTGTGCTGGGATGTATGCTCAGATCTGGGATGCTGGGATGCTACACTTCTTTGTAGATATTACCTTTTTACGATTATGGCATCACTTCGGCTAGTGATTGTTTTTTCAATTGCTATCATTACAACAAAATAATTAAATAGTTTTTTGCTTTTAAAATTATAGCTTCCAATCCCATAATTGGTTTCGAGATTTGCTGAGATGAAATGACAATCTCACTTTCTAGAAGAACGGATGCTTGCTCAGCGTTAACCTCGGGTCAAAAATAGTTTTAACTATGGTAATGCTTCTTTCTTCATATTAAGAAAGCCCTTTTTTATTGACTCCAACCAACATTCTTGCCTCATTTTTCCCGCGGTCGTATATAACGATGGTGTCAGTTGGTCAACTTTGCGGTATAATCCGTCAACTATAGGTATTATAAGAGAAACCGTGATGCACTTGCCGCTGGAAATTTCCACTGTAGCATTTTGAAAAGACCGAATGGTAAAGAAACTTAGCTTAGAAATATATTTCGATAAATTGGTTTGTTTATATCTCTGCTGTTTTTCAACCGATCTTGAAATGGAATATAATTTTGGAATCAGGACATGAACATCCTTCGATCTGCATCAAAGGATCTTCAGAATCCAACAACAAAATGTCGAGCGGCAATCATATTTTAGGCAAGGATCAGTATCGTTCTTTTAGGACTTCATGAGGATCCTTTAATGAAGCTCGAAGGATATCAAGGCCCTGGTCCTGGAATGGTACTATGCTTCCCGGTCGGTTGGAAAATGGCCGAGATATAAACAACCGAACTTTCAAAAATTAATATTTAAAACAAATTTGTTAGCCACTCCGTGTTAACTTGGCCAATACCAGCATTTGGTAGCCAGGTAGATGAACCGTATTTTTCCACTTCTTTTGAGCCATCACAATCCACGATTGGATGCCAAATGGCCGAGTTATTCACAAAAAACAGTTTCAAAAAACAGAATTTACCTACTGAAAAATGCTGGAAAACTCAAGAAAATTCAGGAAAATTTCGGAAAAATCGGAAAAGTTGAAAAATCGTTAAAAATTCGGAAAAACTCAAGAAAGTAGGAAAAAATTCATGAAAATGACGGAAAATTCAAAAAATTGAATTGAAAAATTGGAAATTCCGGGAAAGTTCGGAAACAGTGACGTCCCACTGCATCCTGGTGGAAAATCCTTCCTCCAGGCGTTCCCCTGCCCCCCTTCCCCTTATCCTTCAGTAAAAACACACAATATTTAATTTTTTAAACATTTTCTTTTAAGATTTTACAGATATATTATACAAACATACTATAATTAATTGATATTAAAAAAAACTAAATAAATAGAGTGGTTTTATAAATATTTGCTGGGGATTTAGGATAAATACATCAACATTTACTCATCTGGGACAATTAACATTTTAAATAAATACTATTTTTAATAGTTTTACATTAAGCCCTTCAGGGCCTCTAACACTGGTTGGAAGGATGCCGGTTTTGTGTTCTCCAACAGCTGCATTTTCGCCTCGAGCATAATATCAGTCTGCTCTATGGTAGCATTAAACTCGTCGAGCTCTTCCTGGGCTGCCGCCAGTTTCTTTTCGTAGTCGTCGAGGTAGGCGTGACGTTCGGTCAACAACTGATCCTGGTATGCCTCGGCCGCCGTAAGGAGCTCTTCGTTTCGCTGTTTCTTGACTTCCAATTTGACGATCAGTTGTTGCTCCGACAGCTGCATCTTTTCCAGGCTGTCGAGCAAACGGAGTTGCTCCTCTTCTAGCTGTTCCTGGTGCTGGCGTCTCATTTCGCGTCTGGTGGTGTAGGTACCCTCCAGGTTTTGCAAAGCCTGCTTGAGCACTCGTAGCCGTGACACCAGATTGGTGATCTCCTGCTTGCAGCTTCCGCATTTTAGTTGGATTTTGTTAATCTCCTTCTCCAGTGCCTGACGGTTCTTTTCTTTCAGCTGCCTCTGCTGCTGGACAATGCCACTGAATTCCTCCAGGACTCGTGCTCGTACCAGGATGTCATCCTTGCTCTGCGGCTGCAGAGGCAACAACAGATCCCACTTCTGGTTGCGAACCAATTGGGCAGCAACGGAGTCGCTGAAGTGGCGGACATGCGAATTAAAGCTTTCGATGGTGTCCAGTAGTTTTTTCTTTGCTCTGGAAAGCATCACCTGCTGGTTGGATTCGCGAGTGCAAAGATCCTTCACCTGCCGTTCGTATACTTGGGATTCGTTGCTGAGGTCGGCCTGCTGCATTTGCAAAGCCCTAACCTGTTGGATTGTGTATTTCTGATTGGCAATGGAATTGCGTAAATGCTTCTCGCCTCTGGTTAGGCGCTGTATCTCCTCTTGAAGCTCTTTACCCTTGGATTTCAAGGTGTTTTTAGCATCCTCCTGTTGGGTAATCTCCTCCTGGCAAGCACGAAGCTGTTGATATAGTTGCTCCCTGTCCTGGTTAAGCTTTTGCAGTTGCTGAAGCTTCTTCTCCTCCCCGGAACTATGCAGTTGCTCATCCAGCTTCGATATCTGGGATTGTAGGTTGCCAATCTCGCTGTCGAGCGCTTGACGACTAAGGAAGTCACTCTTTCTGCTTATGACCATGTCGCACACCCTGGCCTGAAGTTGTAGCTCCTCCTCGGCGCGTTCCTCATTCCAAAAATGATTACACTCGGCGCTCTTCTCAAAGAGCAAGGCATTTAGCTCCTCGTCCAGCTGGATAGCGTGTAGAGCATGCGTGGTGGACATGGCTGTCATTTCAGCGATGCTGTGCAAGTAAGAACTGGGCTGCTCGGCAGTCTCCATGAATGGGAATGGTTCTGAGTTCATTGTATCCAAAGGTGGGGCGAAATCCATGAGAAAATCCAGCAGCACGATGACATGGCCGAAGGAATGCTGAGTTGCAGGCGTACTCAGCCAGGATTTGCTTACTTGATGGGGATAGTGGAGTTTTTGCAGAGCTGCTGTTATATCCTCCACCGGATTCGCTCCTACGGTAACCTTATTGCGCCAAACATTCTGAAAAAAGAAGTTCAGGATGCCAAGGAACTGCTTGAAGGTCATCTTCCGTAATCCACCAGGACGAGCGAAGAAGTCGGCTCCTAGACATTGCAGGCCTCCTTGTGTATTGCTCAGATATTCAAGTATCTGTTGAGCCCGTTCCGACACCCAGCTTTTATCCGAGTGCAGAGCTATAGGTCGCTCAACGGATGCGGGCCTAGGACCCCGGGTATTCCTCATCGGGGTGATACCCATCTGACTCGCTCGATCCCTCTCCAGATTCATGGGTTGCGGCAAACGGGAGTGGGAGGGTCTGCAATATAAATTTATTTTAGCTAATTTAATACTACCTAGATAAAAAGGGTGGCTTCTTCCTCATCGTTTATAATTTCACTATGATATTAGTGTTTCTAATTAATAAACTTATAAAAGCCTACCGCTTGTTCATTTTTGCTGTTGTTAAATTTGGTGTGGGTGTTGTTAGAGTCCATTTTGATCTGCGCAAAGTCAAAATATTAAAATAATAATAAAAAAAAACATTCCGTCACAACAAACGCAAACAGCTTACCTTGTCTGCCGCTTATCGGTGGTGCCAGGCTCTTCGGCGGCATATTCGCGGAACTCGCTGTTCCTGCGGGGCAGGTGATGCATTTTTTTATGTGGTATTACTAACTGATTCTATAAATATTTTGTTTTCAAAATTTATGCGCGTCTTCGAAAATGTATTAGGGTTCGACGTGAAGTTGGCTGCGCTTGCGCTGTCGATATAACAATAGAACTTCCTATCGATAGAACTATCGATAGCGCGGGAAAAACAAACCGGTTAACTTTTCAAAAATAAACAAAACGTTTATTTAAAATAAAAAGTACTTAATTACAAAAACAACCTCCTCATTTATGAACTTTTTTTGTTTTTTATTTTCGTTTATTTCAACATATTTAATTAATTGGTATTATTGTTTCAAGTATTACACAATATTGATGCCGTTTCTTTTACATTTCTTATTATTTTATAGGTTTTATTATTATAACTAAATATCGATCACATTTCCTTTCAGAACGTCTCTCATTCTCATCGTTTTTCCCTGTTCACTTTTGTTTACAGAACGTACAATACAATACAATACAATATATTCATATCGCTTTAAGGAAAAAATTAAACACGGTTCAACTTAAAAGATATATCTATACAATATACAAATAAAAGAGGAATATACATTTACGTGCTGACACACATTATCTCATCGTCCTAGCTAATTCGCAATAATAAATATAATTTGTTTTCGTGTGTCGATCTTATTGCTTCTCTCTTTCATTCGCTTTCGGAGAAAGTTCGGGGAAATGGAAAGGGACAATGAGAAAATAATATGATACGATAAAAAATAATAATAAACACAAAAAAAAAAATATGAAGCGAGACTTGCAAAAATCAAATCTGCGCTAATACTACACAATGGGCTTGCTTTAAGTTTAAATTAAGGAATTAAGTAGGCTCTATTTATGACTAATTTTCAATAATTATTTGGTTGCTTAAGGTAAACACAAGGCGAAAGAATCAAGAACCCAGGGGGGGCAGGAAACAATTTTCCATTAATTGAATGATTTTTGTGTATAGTTTTTCATTAGTTCCTCGTCTTCTTTTCTCTCTGCTGGTGTTTTTTTAGTTGTATATATATTTTTTTAAATGTGTATAATATTGTCCTAAAAGCCTTAAAAAATATGACGCAGCATGCCTGCAAATCGACATGTGTGTTTATATATAAGCGCGTACATATATATACATAGCTATATATATATATACCATACTCAAATCGTAATTTCTCGGTAGAGCAAAAGGAACACAAGCAAAAGCCATGTAGAGAAGGACACAATGTAAAAGGATTAACTGGCTCGCCTCAGACATTAGACATTCGACATTAGAAGTTAGCACGATCTAGGTGTTTGGTTTGTATCTATTTTGTTGTTGTTGTCGAGGTGTTTTTTTTTGGGTGTGTTTCTAGGTGTTTTGGGTTGAATTTTCGTTTTAGGTACATAACAGTTCTTATAATTGTGTTGTGTCTGCTTAGCTTATCCGTTTCCGGTTTCCGTTTTAGTTTCTTCTCAGTGCTGTGCATTTTCTAGTTGGGCGCGTTGAGGGTCTCCATTCCGGAGCCGTACTGCATGCCCACGGACATGGTGAAGAGCCACGCCACGGCCAGCAGACTGCTTCCCAGGAGATCTCCCAACGCCGTCAGGTAGGGGATGGCCGAGTTGTCCGGATCGATCTTCCACTTCCACATCGCATGCACAATTATGTGGGCAATGTACAGCAGCAGCATTACCTAAAATCAGAGTCAAAGCTCATTAGTGATTATACAATACAATTTCACAACAAATAAACAATTAAATGATTTTACACGGTTCGCTAAGAAGATTAAAGCCCCATTAAAATATGCCATTAATTTGATTAAATAATTGCAGTTAATTTGGGTTTGAAACTCTAGGAATTAGTGACATATCATTACTGATTACAGACTATTTGGGACTTGATTATATCCCCATTATATAATCCCACCTGCCGCCCATGATTCTAATCATAATCGCTCACCTGAACCAAGCTGGCGGTCAGATAAGAGACCACAAACACCCAAGACACCGTCGAGGTGCTCATGTTGATGTAGTCAGCCGCGAAAATGAAGAGTATATTGCCGGGAATGGACATGGCAATGAGTATCCTCGCCGTTTTCGCATAGGGAACTGCAAACAGGATAAAAGAGAGATTAGAGTTTTGATTCGGGCGGTTGGATTGGGTTAGATAGATGGGGTTACCTCCTTTGAAGAGCGCCCGCCAGGGCCACTCAAAGATTTTGGTGTGCGGTGGTATAATGCCAATAATTGAGCTCTGGTGCAGCATCGTCGATATCTTGCTGGCCTGCACCGACACCAGATTGCCGCCGATTCCATTGATGATCGGCTGAAAGACCACAAATCCATTGAATACCTCAACGGCGGCATCCAACACAAGGCCACCCAGACTGCAATGAGACGACAGAAACGTTATTAATCAGAAGTACATACAATCTCTCAGTTTACCACACAGATGTCTACTATTTATAGCTTATCTTATTAACTTGACCAGGTCTGCGAATACGACTAATTTCAATATCAGAATTGAGTGATTTGACAATCAGATTGAGTGGCTAGGAGCTGCAGGCCGAAAGCCACGAGTCACCGCAAATAATTGCGCTTAAATTTATAATTCTACTTTTGATTCTAATTATACTCGCGGGCACTTGACCTGTCGCCGCTGCCCAAACGCGTGTCAGGGACATTGGCGCGAATATTTCTATTCATTGAACAGACTCTGAATATAACTGGCCGGACCGATCTGGACGTGATGTGGCACTAATAGCGAACCGATCTCTAAATATAGCCAGCAACTTGACTCGAACTTCTGCTTGTCACGGCCCCAATTCTAGGGGCTCCATCATCCGATTCGATTGGAGTCGATTGGATCCAGGGTACTGTACTTACCCACTTATGCAGAGAGCCGACAGAACGGGCACCCATCCGCTTTTAAGCACCGGTCGCGTGTACTCGTTCCTCAGCACAATCATCACCCACATGGGCAGCAGCACCAGGTAGCAGCAGACCACGATGAAGGTGATCCACAGATGCGTTTCTGTTGGAGTTCATCAGAGTAGAGATTTAACATATGGGTTATAAGGTATTTTCGATGGCTGACTTACTGATATGCTCGTACAGAAGCGAGGCAATAAACGAGAGCAGACTTATGGACACCACATCGCCAATAGATGCGGCCAGGGGCGTGGCCAGGTTGTCCGGATTGAGGCGATACTTCTGCGAGAACAGGATCACAGCCACCAAGACAAAGTCTGTAATGAGAAGTCTGAATGTTAAGAAAGATCTAGGGATAGTCCTTTGAGAATCATACCCAGGACAAAGCACGAGGAAGTGGCAGTGAACATGGCCGAGGCGGTGAGGAGCATCATATTCTCGAAGTAGAACTCGCCCGTCATCGCCGCTCCCACGCTCACCGCAAACATGGCCACCAGAAAGGACGCCACAGTGGCCTGTACCTGCACCAAGGCTATGTTGCCCACGATCATTCGCACCACGCTCTGCCGACTGGTCATGTTCCCCAGATTCACCTGGGTGGAGAGTCGCGAGGCCAGGCACATGTCCAGATTGCCCTTCAGTCCCAATAGCGCCGGCACCAAGATGAACAGCTCACTCACATTCTTGAAGACATACCATTTCTGAAAGTGCGATAAGTATTGGATAACTAGTCTAGTAGTTTACAGACTTTGATGAGAGGGTGAACTGCTGCTGGCTTGATAATCCCAATCCCAATCCCATTTCAATCCAACGTAATCCACGTTTTCCCGCCTGGAACTGGCTACGACTCCAGTTCGGCCCAGAACTTTTACCATCAATTAGCGAGCAAATTAAACGTTTACTACCTATCTAATGCGACCGCCGAGTTCATACATATTCGCGGCCATAAATAACATTCGAAAATGGAAATGTGCCAATTCACCGCCGGGCCATTGTCAGAAGCGGGGGAAAGGTTTAAAAATAGCCGCCTCTGTCTGCGATTTGTTTGATCGGCTCGATCGATCGATCGAGTGTAGAGTGGCTTTCGAAGCGTCCTCCTCTAATGCCTTCCATTCACACCACGCTTCAAATATTTGCTCGGATCGGATCGGATCGGCTGGCGACGGGGAATTGGAACGTAACCCCAGTCCGCTAATAATGAATAATTCCTAAATATTAAACGCAATTAAATGGGATTATTTATGAAGTTTCGCTATCTATCGATGTTATTACACTAATTCGTTTAATCAAAACATAAAACATATGTTTACCAAAAAAAGTGGACGACGTCATAGTGCCCCATAAATCTGGCAATAAACGATATCAAGATATTAACTTTATCGGGGAGTGCAAGATCCCCCCGCAGATCCCCAGATCCCCAGATTAATCAAATAGAATGCACAATTAACTAATTTTCCATTCTCCAGGTAGATTAGAGAGAATGCAATGGCTCTCTATATTTTTACAATTTAATGTTATGTAATTGCACCGGATGGCGGTTGTGTTTGCCCTTTTGTTTGGGGCCTTATCTTCAGGGAACTGTACAAAGTCAACGAGCGGAAAAATTACCACTAAGGCCCCCGATTATTAGAAAATGATGTGGAATTGTTTGGGTTAATAGGCATATAGACTCACCTCAACGCGTCCCAGGACAATGCCAGCTCCAATGGTTCCAATGCCGGCCAGGAAGAACGGAATGGATACCTGAAGCAGGATGGTGGTCCACTTTTCCTGCTTGATACCCGGCCGGTTGAGGGCCAACTTCTCCTCGGAGCTGCCATTGATGCCCGCAATACTGGAGGCATCTGCTGCCACCAGGGCTCCTGATCCGATGCCACCATTACCGCTACCGCCACCGCCACTGCCACTACCGCCGCCGCCTCCGCCGCCACTCGCCGCTCCAGGATCCGGTTCGGAGGATGCTATGGACGTCGTGATGATTGAGCTTAGTGAACCGGTTGTCGAATGTGGTAGGCCCGACAATTTCTCATTGTCGGGATCTGGGTTGTCGGGACAAAATATCGGGGGGAGGAGAAACAAAAGAAAAGGGATAGCAAGATGCGGGTTAGTCAAGGGTCAAGGATCAGGCACAGACATTAAAGTACACACAGAGTACACACGGTACAGAGTTCAAAGTTCACAGTTCACTGTGTGTTGGTGGTGTGCTGGGGGGGTGGGGTGTTTGGTCGGAGTCTCTCCTCCTCTCTCATCCAAAAAAAAAGCAAGAAAAGTTCAAATATTTTATTCAAAAAAGCAAGTGGTTGTGTTCTGCGGCATGGCATGCATCTAATTTTAGCAGCATTATGCAATTAGCAAGGCAATTAATTATCATTGCTATAAATCATACGTACTACATACATTTTCTCTCTCTTAATTCGATTCGCGATCTTCTTACACAAAAAATAAATACAATAAAAAATAAAAACAAACAAAACAAAACTCGTTTGAATAGAATTCGGTTTCTGATTCTGCAGCCAAGTTCATAAACCACGAATCGTTCGTCCATAAAAAAAGATTTGCCAACCGCCGAGACAGCGACAATTAAACATCACAAAAATAACAATTAAGAAAGCTATTAAATCACTGGACTTTGAATGTATCTTTGAGGTCTTACCCTGGAAAATCTTACTTCTTAATATTATAAAGAAAGTCTTATAATAAATATTATAATATACAGCTCCTATTAAAAGTTTAAGCTTCAAAAAGACTAGAATAAGCATTTAAAACCAATTAAAACCTATAACCGATATACCCTAAAATCGGTTACCGATTAAGCATACTGGTGGAGGTGGTGTGGTGTAGTGGAGCATGCTTGGTAATTACAAGTAAAGATGTCATGTGTTTACAATCGCAACTAGTCGAGACATACTAGGGCGATTAATGCGATTAATGCGATTATTGCGATCATTTCGATTATTGCACTGGATTAATGTAATATAAAGCGATTATAAAGAGTATGAAGCAAACAAATGGTAAAATGAAAAGGGAAAAGAGTCCAGACTCTTAAATATAGACTCGTATTTGCATATCAAATGTAAATATAAAAGATAGTAAGATAATGCCAAAGATAGAGTAGAGAATTAGATACTGAGAGATACTGAGAGAGAGAGAGAGAGAGATAATGTCTTTCGTGTAAGTGTGACCCAAACCTTAACTGGATATCGAAACCTTATCGATAGCCTCGAAGCAAGGACCTATCGAAGCACGCGAGAAACTGTACTTTCGTTCACCCAGAGGGAGAGAGAGATACCACTTGTTGGCTCTGTTGTTGTTGCTTGGTTCTTTTCTTTTTCGTCGTATTTTATTTTTGGCTTTATAAACTCACCGTTTCCATTGAAAATGGTAAACAATCGATATTTATCATCCTGTGCCACGTCTAGCGGTGTTGTTGTTGTCAGTGTTGACAACTGTTGTTGGTATATTGGTGGTGTGGCATATGCAGATGGTGGCGTTGTGTTGTTGTTGTTGTTGTTGTTATTATTTGTATTATTGTTGTTGTTGTTATTGTTGTTGTTGTAGAGACCAATATTAATGGTGGTGGGCGGGGGATCATCATGACTATCGATAGCATTATCGCTGATCGGTTGCGGATTTACGTAGCCCGATAAACGACGCACATTTAATGGCGTCAGGCGTTGTTTCAGCTCATTTGGTGTGTTTGTTGTTGTTGTTGTTGTTGTTGTGTTGGAAGGTGTTGGTGTAGATGTGGATGCTGTTGTTGTTGTGGATGTGGATGTGGATGTGGGTGAGGATGTGTCGGGATTGTGCGGCATGTTTGTCTGTTCGTTGGGCAGCGACATTTTAGCATTGGTGTCGTGTAACTACGTCTTTATTAAGAGTCGTGTAGAGCAGCTCTGGGCTGCGTGCATGTGTTCGGTGTCGCGTCGTGTGTGGGGGGCCTTCTATCAAGCGAGTATTCGCAACTGAAACTCATCGACTAAACTTAATTTGAACTAATCTCTGCTGCTGCTTAGCTAATAATTAATTTAAAAAAAAAATAATAATAACACACTTTATACAAAACACACAAATGAAAAAAAATGTGCACTAATAAATATGTATATTTTGTTTTTTTTGTTTATCGTTATCGATTACTGTCTATGGGCTTTGCATACTTTTTGTTTGGTTTTTTTTCCTTTTTTTCTATTAGATGTATTTTTATCGGTTTTCTAACTACGACTAAACACAAAAAAAAATGTATATCACAAAATTGTTGTATTTTACATAAATAATTTAATAAATTATGGAAAGTGCATTGATTGCTTTTTGTATTTGTTTTTTGTTGTAGGCTTTCGTTCGATCTATGCTGATACTACAGAATGTACAAAGAATTGAATATCGGAACAAGAATTGAAGGAATCTGAAGAAACGTATGGTTTACATTGTAGTGACGAGTGTGGGGAATGTTGTGGCGCCGTGTGGGTATTCTTGATTCCGTCAGTTTTGTGCGTCTCCTGATACCGTCTGTCAGAATCTGAATTCGTAGTTTTGTAGCTCGGGGTCCGGAGTCTGTAATCCGTAGTTATCCTTGGTCTGGTTGAGGGGATTGTGTGGTTGGTGGTGGTGGAAGTTTGGAGGAAGATGGTTGGTGAGATGTGTTGATGTTTTGTTTTTGGTTTTGGGGGGACTTGGGGGTTACAGAGGTAGAAGGGCTGAGGCTGACAGGCTGGGCTTAGTCACCGGACCGTTGATATGGCTGCAAAGCAACAACAACAACGCATTGGTTTATTTTCTGGTTAGGCTTTTGGGGATTTAGTTTATTTCGCATTTATAAAAGTTGGTTATTAAAGAGTTTCGGCTGGAACAATGGAAATCAACAACAAAAGCAACAAAAGATCGAGTCACAATCTACGAGAAGCGGCAACACTAAGTATAATTTATTTTATTTTACGGATTTTGGGTTTAGTTTTTAAGAACATCTCAGGGGGTCATCTAATCCCACGCTTGCAAATGCCTGACCTGCCCAAACAATGTGGCCGAGACTTCCGCGTGGAGGCCCTGACACTCTCTGATGGCCAAAATGGCTGTTTGCTTGGCTTTTGTTTGTCAACCTGTTTGTGGAACAGTCTAGTGTCTAGTGTCTTGTGGCTTGTGTCTGTTTCTGTTTCTGTATGTTTATGTTTGAAGCCCTAAGTGGCAACCAGTTTGTTGGATTCGAAAGACATCAATTCGACGCAACAAAATGCAATCTGAGAAAACATGCATTAAATGGTCGGCAGCAACAGGTGTCTTTAATTGTTTATATTATTTTTTTTTTATGGATTTTGTGGCAGCGATAAGGTTTTCATTTCCCGCGTTGACACTCAGATTGGGACACAATAAATAGCCAACACTTGAAAACTTGGCTTTCTGACAGGGCCGGCCAATGGAATGACAGCTGAGAGTCCTATTCAATGAACCACTTGAGACGGCTCTAGGGTTTTTTCATGATTTTTATTCCCGATTCGCGATTTGCGATTTTCTTTATCGCTCTGAAGTGAAAGCCTTCGCTCGTCACAAATCAAACCCACGCGTCGTATACGTAATGGAAAAAGAACACACAAAACACACGGCTATCAATATGCACTTGAGAGTGTCATAAAAAAAACTCCTCGGGGGAAGGAAGGTCAATACTAGCTATAAATCCAATAGATCACTACATCAAAATACCCTTTCAAAATACCCTTTCCCTTATCATACTTCCTCTAGCATATCTAATCCGAATACCATTGATAATCCCTTTGGTTTTCCCCCTTTCAAAATACACAACGCCGATGACTAACAAAAGGGGAACAAATGTCAAGAGTGGCAAAAAAAAAAAAATACTTTAAAAATAGTTTTCATTTCGATCCGATCGTTTTTTTTAAATCTTATCGCAACGCTTGATTCCGATTAAGACGTCGATTGGGCAGAAAAAAAATAGTAAATAGGAAAGTCAAGTCGGAAGACCGTATAGCCCGCTATAAGGTCTTTGTCTTTAGCCCCCGGAGACGTAGAATCGGTGGCGAACGTCAACGGGAGGTGCGGAGATAATAAACAATCATATTGTGACAGTGAAAACATTCCATTATCAATGTCAAACCAAATATTTAAGCTGCCAATTTATTTAGCACCTTATTAGCCGTTGTTGGGCTTTCTTCTGGGTAAGCTGTCGTATATTTTCTGATTCACTTCGTTTCATTAACGATAAACCCAGTCCTAGTCCCAGTTCCAGTCCCAAAAAGTGAATAGGTTCTCCTACTCCAATCCCTCTTTAAAACCCCTTTTAAAAAAAAATCACTTGTTGTATATAACAAATCCGATTAGATTATCAAAAGAAAACACTCGGCTCGGCAACCAAAAATCTCACAGAAAAGTTAAATAAAATATATGCTGGTTACGTATACGCACCATTGGCCGATCGTTCAAACTTTTGCTTTTATTTTTTCTGATTTTTCTGATTTTTCAAGTTCAAAGTCAGGCAAACACAAAAGTAAAAGCAGAAACAACAAGCAGAAAGGGGCGTGGCCAGCGGGGGAATACTAAATTGAAAAATTTCTGTTGTCTGCTTAATTTTTTCGTATGCGGAACTCGGAGCACCGACTGGAAGTACTATTGTAATTACTGCCATTCGAATAGGATTGGATTGGATTGGAGACCGATACCGAAATCGCACTGGGCATATAAATGCACCTTGATTAGTGGGAAGTCAGAAGCCGCCGGTCGAGAACAATCAATTGGCAAACGACTTGCCGCCTTTCAGTCTTTGCCTTCTTGGCAATTTTGTTTATTGCCAGCTTATCAGGAGATATACAGCTGATAGCCGATATATATATGCCGATATGTATATGTATATGCATATGGTAGTGCTGGGGGACCGACTTCCAGCCAGTAACCAATTGATTTTCTATGGTTATTGCTTTAGTTTTACAATCCACCCAACCCTCCCCCTTAAAGCCGCTTAATCTTATTAAATGCCAAAGTTTTTTTTTGCGTTTTTTTTTTATCCGATGCTTGATTGCTTTTTATTTTTTAGTTTTTATTTTTTGGAGTTACTGTCGCCTGGCAGACGACAAAGTGTCTGCAAAATTCCAGTTGGTATGGAAATTTACGAAACGACCAGAAAAATATCAGGTTTTATGCGGAACCAGTTCCGGGACGAGGCAAAAATGTGTGAGATTTCAAGAAAATAAAAAAAAAACTGCACTAGTTCCAATTTTTAATGACAGGCCAGTATGTAATCCTCATTAATTTAAATTTGACACTCCTGTTTACACTTGAAATAATACTTGCTAGGTTGTTAGAATGTTGGGAAATTGTCCAAGGGATTTAAAATATAGAGGGAACTTGATTAGAAGCCGGTATAAGTAGGGGGACATTTTTTAAAAAGGTCTACAAAATAGGAGGAAGTTTTCCAAAGAATTCAAATATAGAGGAAACTTGATTATAAGCCTGTATAAATAGAGGGAAATTTTCTAAAAAGGTCTACAAAATAAGGAGACATTTTCCAAAGATGTAAATAATAGGAAAAAATTAAAAAAGAATCTCAATATTTAAGCAAAATCATTTCTACAAAAAATCATATATATTTTTATGATCTCAAATAAGCCCCACACTATACAACCCTCGCCATATACAATGTCTAGCCCAGGGTAAATATCACCGGCATGGCCCCCATCTAAATCACTTAACTTTTAAACATCAGGGATCAGGTCAGTAATCTCAAAGCCCACACGACACTTTACGACGAAGCGCCCTATCATAAATGGCCCGCAGAGCACTATCTCAGCTCTTCGGCCAAAAAAGATCGCTTTTGTTTCAAAGGGTAGAAATACGAAATAGAAGCCATAAACCAAGTAATCTTGGCGGTCAAGATGCCAATGTTCCAAGGTGAGAAGTCTACACCGAAGCTGATAATAAATACATTTTGCCAGAGATTATAATTACTTTTTTCTTGAGATTAGATTGGCCAACAAAAATTGATTAATGATTAAAACGAAAAAATTGGCAAGAGAAAAGTCCCTCTTGCCGAGATTTTTGAACGGTTTATTTTTATGGCTTGCGAATAAATACAAGTGGCACACGAGTATGTATATAATAATAATAATACATAGTATTGGCTGGAACATTAAGACCCAAGAATGTCCACAGTCATTGTGTTGGCGTTAATTTGTGAAACGTGCGCTAAATGTGCAATGACTTGAAGACTCGCGGACCCCCAGACCCGCAGAGGCTAATTCCTATTTAGTGTGATTAAAAAGGCACCGTGTGTTCGGTCCTCTCATCCCAGATGATATATGTACATATGTATATATGTTCCCAGGCTTCATTAAACGAGATTTTGCTTCACTTTTAATTTGCACTCCTATTCGGTCGACTGGGAAATGCATTTTTATTCCTAATCTGAATCTTTCTAAGTAATAATATTTAATCCAAAAAGTGCCTCTTGCTTTCTCACGTTATAAATACAAAAACGTGCGACCCACTTGGCGGCTACGTAATATACGAATATTATTTATTCACAACAAAATGCCAGAGCATAAATATGCAAATATTTCACGTGAACAAGTTGGATTCATCTCTTGGCTGCTTGGGGCTTCATTAGCATGCGATGTAAACGAACTTTTAAGCGAGAAACCGAATAAAAATCATTCAGTCGTATTGGAGATGAAGAAAGTGATTTTTCTTCAAAAGAGTAATTGTAGTGTGTAGGGTTTGATATCGGAGTCTGTTTTATTATCGTATATGAAGCAAAAGAATTCAAGACCCAAAAAATAATAAAACAAAAACAAACTGTCTGAGAACCGGCTTGAATTCTATATGTTTTATAATTCCCGCTGAGGTGTAAAAGTGTAACAAAATTAAATATATATTTCTCGAATCTGGAATTGAAAAACTGGAACTCAAACCGAAACCGAAACTGTATCAAATGTCATTCAACTTGGCATCCAAATTTTCGTTCCATTTCGATGTAAATTCAAAATTTTAAATATGCCAACAGATGCCAATAAATAAAGAATTCGGCCACAAATGAGTCATAGGCAGGTTCTTCATATTGGGATTTGAAATAGTGGGGTTGCGACGACCTTGCCCACCTCCAGTTACCCACTTTTGTGATCTGCAATCGTCTCAGTTAGCCAAACAAAAGCTGGTGAACGGCGGCAGTAGAGAGGCTAGAGGAGGGGCTAGTAGACTACTAACGCGAAACCTATTAGCCACACGCAGCTAAAAGTATCTTTCGGAAAAATCGCCGGGAAATTGCATTCCAAAATTGAGGAAGAAATCTTATCAACTCTATGCTGAATATTTTTTTTCATCAAAACTGAAACCTAAAAAACTAAAACTTAACAGGGCAGACATTGAAAGTCCCCCAACTACACAAAAAAAAAATGCAATGTGGCCGTGAAAACGAAATACCAGCAAACATAAATTAATTATTATTGTTAATAATATTTTTTGTATTTTGTTGTATTTCTTTTGTTTTGGTTTTTGGCTTTGGCTTCGTTTTGTGGGCCTGGGTCTCTGGGTCTCTGGGCCTGGGCAGTAATATTAACTATGCATAAATTAAAAGCTTTTCAGCTTTTCAGCCTTTCGATTCACTGCGGTACGGTTTTCGGTTCAATTTGATTCGCATTCATTCAGATTCTTCAGCTAAGGTTGTTTTTTTTTTACTAACTATTTATAGTGTTTTATTAGGTTCGTTTTAAGGCTTAATTAGTGGACAAGAAAACGGTTTCTCGCCTCTGTGATTTATGGCTTTCGGTTGATCGATGAAGTTGCCAAAAGACCGGTAAAAATGAGATATAATATTTAATTAAAATGTATTTCAATGTCGCCGAGAAAGAAAGATTTCATGATCTAATCCGTGAGATCATCGGGGGAGGATCTTCCCAAGAAAATTGGCAAGCTAATGGTTAGAAATCCACACCAACACTGTAAGCCATCGATCAATGACAAACGTGTATTGCCAAAAAAAAAAACTTGCTAACTTGTCGGCTTGGAAACTAGAAATATGAGATCTGATCTCGCGAATGGGCCAAGAACTGACTCTGGATTGCAATTTCCAAGATTCCATATCGTATAATTTCCATTGGTTTCCGCCTTTCACACATGGTCTTTGGGCATTGGGCTTACTTTGTATATCAGATCTGATATCTTTGGGGATGTGTTTCAAAATCACTTGAATTTTGTATTATTTTTGTTGGAATTTTTTCTTTTTTTGGCCACTTTTAGCACGTGATTTGAGGTATTTGTTGTGTATTTTTTTTTGTACTTAATATTTTTAATATTTTATTTTTTGTGTCACCGAACAGAAACAATAAAAAAATGTAGTCTTTTCTTCGAGATTGAAACTAAGCGCGTAGGGATGTTGGCTATTATGCTGAATTTTAATTTAAAATCTTGGATAGTTTTTTGTTTAATTTTAACAGATTTTTTGTTTTGTTTTTAGAGCTGATCGTATGAGCCGTTGTCTGCACCGTCCGCCGGGATATCGCACACTGAATGTCCAAAGACGGCAAACACTTGTTATTATAACGCGTCAAAGCGTTTCCATTTAGCGGTTGTGACGACGGCGACGTCAACGTCAACGACGACGCCGACCGTGACTGCGACCAGCAACTGAGACGCCAGCGTCGGCGCAAGAGCTCATCGCTCGTGCAAACAGAAACGAAAAATCATCATATAAACTCTACCCGAATCTGGCCCGAATCATTTTAGCCACTTGGACCTGTCGACGGCGTTTTCTTGATAAGCTCGAGATCGCTTCGCAGCCGACTGAGCCGCCAGCTGAGGCAGCGGCGCCGGCAGCGGCAGGGCAGTGCAAAAGGTGAGCGTTTTACGCGCTCTCGGCTCGACTTATCAAAAAAAAAAAAAAGTATCTCGAGTATCCACGAGCTCGTAAATGAAAATGTCAGGAAAAAATTGTCTAAAAAAAACCCAACTTATCAATTAAAAAAAAAACTTGAGAAAAACCCTAAATTTTTATCAAAGAAGAGGGTCTTTTCGGTGCTTGGAAAAACCATCTTTCATAGTGGCTTTATATCAAAGATTATTAAAAAACCCTTTTAAAAGTGTATTTCTTAGTGGGTTCTTTAGGGAACTTGATATAATATTGCCTACTTATTTGGAGAGGGCTTCCTTGAGACCTTCTGGTTAGAACTTCTTAGATAGTTCTTCAAAGTTCTTAGATTCTTAGTTTTAATTTAATAATTTAAATCAGTAGTTGGCATGGCCGTATTCCGAGGGCATAGGAAATTTCTCTGCCCGAAAATTTGAAATGTCTGCCATTCGTTACTAATACTAATACTAATACTAATACTAATACTAATACTACTACTATTACTGATTTAAATATAACCATAAATATCCTTGAAAAATAAAACCCCTATTAAAGTTGAAAAAAATCCCAAGATCACCAACTGCAATGGCAGCATGATTTTCCCGGCGCCACGTCGCTGCTACAGCGCTGCCGACCGAAAGCAGCGAATAGACCGTTATAGAATGGGCCAGGCCGAGAGCCGAGAGCCGAGAGCTCTGCGAGAAAAAGGCCCGAAGCAGGCCGAGTACCTGGCCAAAAGCCCACGAAGTGCAAGTCGCAACAAAAGACCGCTTTGGGAATCACACCCACAATCGCATCATTTCGTGGCAATTGAGAGTCATTTTTGACAGTTAAGTTGGCTTATTAGCCGGCCAACAGGTCGTATGAGTGATGTGGGCGAGCGATTTCCACAAGAGAATTAAAATTTTGATTTACAATGGTAGTCCCTGTTTGTTCTACCAATTAGACGAAGATGTTGCGCCATAGATTTTCTGATTTTTAAGGCAATTTAGGCTTTAGGGTAATAAATCGGCACAAACCGCATCGACTCGGTTCATTCTGGCCAACGGGTCGTATGATTGATATCCAGAGAGTGATTTACAAGTTGTTCAATTAACTTCGTTGAATAATGTCATGTAAGGGCTGTAACTAATTAAACTAAATGGTATTGTCCCTTTTTAGGGGAAAATACTTATATATTTATGGCTTAGACTCTGTGGAGGAGGAGGAAAAAGCTACTTGTTGCACGTACGCGCCTTCAGATTAGATTTACGAACTTGTCAGCTTGGATTTTTAGTGTTCAATCATTAGATTACGTGCTGGTCGAAATAAATAATTACACAGCTAAAGTCACTCACTAGCTAATCACAGATATAGCCTTAATTGAGCAGATATAGCATTATTTTTTGTTAAGATACCGGGGGTATGGGTTGTTTTTCGCCGAAAGCTACAAAAGATTAAAAGCCATGAGATTACTTTCCACCAAAGACCATAGACCAACATTTCATCATACAGGGCCAGGCAAAGACACGAAAAGTATCTTAAACTTTGACTCTCAATCTCTAACAATTATTTGACACATTTTCATAAACTATCCAAGCATTTGTACTTGATTTCATTTTGGTGTGAGTTTGGGTGTTTGGTTTTTTATTTTTTTTATTTTTTTTATTTTATTTATTTTATTTATTTGTATTTTTTATTTGAATTTTTTTTTTTATTTTCCCCCGACGAACAGAAACTGGTTTTCCGCACCCGGATGAAACGTAAACGTATCCAATCCAAGACCCGAAAACAAAACAAAAACCAAATCGAACATATCATATATATGTATATAGAGAGACGCCCAAACATCTGGTGGTGGTGTGGAATCTCGATTGAAAGCCCCGCGGCTTTAATTAAGATTTGAATTTTTTTGGCTTTTCGGTTCGTTGTCAATTGAGAATCGACTGAAAATGAAATACAAGTTGGCTTTCAACGTTCAGGATGTTGGTTGGTTGGTTGGTTGGTTGGTGAAGAGCCAAATCTGAATGGATGACCACATTATATGAATGAACAGCACTCGGCGGGCTCGACTCTCGGTTTACAAATAGTTTCTGATTATAAGCTCCAACGTCAACAAATCGTAAACCAAACAAATAAACAGACGCTGGCTACTCCAAAAAAAAAGCCAACAAGAAGTTTGTAATCCACAAAGTTTGTTTACTCTGATTTCAGGGCATAGATTTTACAATTACGACTTGTTCCATTTATAGATTTCATTCAAGGGCCTAAAAAATATAACTATAAAGTAATACTATAAGTAGAAGCAATAATTTAGACAAGAAAATTAACAACCAAGACATTCTAATTAGCTGTCTTATTATTTTAATTTTTTTTTGTAAAACGTTTCTCAAGATTGACATTTTTTGACATGCAAGTTGAGAAAAAAGTTCCCCTCTGGGGGTTTCTACTCAGAAGGTAACCCCTACATATGTGGATCCTCCTTTATTTCTCTGAGTACAGTTGCCACCTCAGCTTAAATAGGGAAGTACAATATCGATTGCCAAGCGAATAAAAAGACAATAAAATAAGATAAATACAAATAGCACGGACAAAAGATACATTTACCGCTTATCAGAGATACAACGGTTCTTTGTGATGAGGTTGGTGGGTTTGGAGGGGGTTCTCAGGGGCTTGGGGTTACCCATTTGCATAGTTTTTTTTCGTCAGTAATTTACTTAAAATGGAATTACTGCTAGTATTATCGATAGACAATTGATGTACTAGTACTAGTACTAGTACTGTGTACTAGCCATGTGGGTGACTGGGTGGGGGTGGTGGTCAATCGTTCAATCGAGATGCCTGGCGGGTAATTGCGATCAACGGGCATTGCTGCCCGATCACCGATTGTTGCCTCCCCTTTGGCACCTCCCCCCCCTGGCCGGCTGCACCCCGCCCCTTGCGATCAATCAGTCCGCATCCCAATTAAACCTACACTGAAAGAAATTATCATACTTTCTAATCAATTTTAATAGAGGAGAGAAGTTCATAGCCCTCATTACCTTTTATTAAATATTAAATATTAAATAATTTCTCTCAGTGTAATACCTTCCACTTGAACTACGGGCCGTGTCTCCGTTTCTGGTTTGTGTTTTGCACGCGATTGAAATGAAATTAGCAGCTGGATAGGGAAATGCAACATGAATTATTACATTGCCAGGCCCTTGGCCTTGAACCCACCACCCACCTGCCAACACCCACCAATCGCCCTGAAAATTAACCAATTATATATACACCAATCCAATGATTATAAAGCTAAAGACCAAAAATCAAAGGGCGAGATGAGATCGTGGAGGCGTGATGGGGAGGGCATATTACCGCATAGTCTTACAATCTTATCGACAAGATGTGCATATTAATTGCCTGACAAACGATTACATTATATCGTATAACAACAACAACACAGGGCATACAGGGCACATTATCAGAGCCGGAGATAGAATGACACTTGGATGGAAAAACATTCCGGTAATTTGGTCGTGTGGGATGAATCACGCGACTGTTAAGTAAAGACCCCTTTAGGACTTTTGGGGTAAAAACCCCATCAAGTGGTAGGGTGGTAGGGAATTCCATAGATGTCTATGTCGGGAATCGGGAAGATCCCATCCCCCCAATGCATGACTATCCGAATAGTGTGACCAGCACTACAAAGGAGGATTGGATCAGATCTAGATAGCCACCCAATTTCAAGACCAAAACACCACTTATGTGGCTAAGATAATCGGTAGCTATCAATCCATGCTATGGGGTTGTTTACTACAAGTTCTTTGACTCCACCTGACCATGATAAATGAATCACTTGGCGACCGTTCTGATCTAGCTATTGGACATTGAAAGACATTTAAGAGGCCACTGGCACTGGCACTGGACACTGGACACAGGGCGCGATAATGGTTATCGATTGTCAGAGCTGCCAGAATCATAAGTGCTACTTCGATGACGCAAAGTTAAAGCCCAAAATCAGGAGACACAAGCCCCCTCGGCTCTTCATCTGCCAGCCACTCGAAAGATACAATCTCAAGTGGGATTAATAACGACATGACAAATGCTCTGCTACTTAATGCTTTTTATTATATTTATCGATTAGAATTGATTATTAAATGATATATTTTATTTTCTCTTGATTTTAGATAGTCAGACCGTTCCTATACTTTATTTTATCTGCAACATTGTTGCTTTTATACCTTTATCTTTCACGTGATCATGAACTTGATGTTGTAGTGCATCGACCCCGATTCAGTATTCGCAATAAAGAGTATGTCCAAAGATGGTGCGTAGATTGCAATTACGTCAGGCGCTTTCAACCGGATTGAAGGGTATACTTCATACCAGGCACCCGTCCCACTACCCATAAGTCTACACCTCCTCCACCAGGTCCGATTCGGTTTTTAATTCCAATTCCTTGATGTATTATCAGTCGTCACGTACTCGGAACGAAATTATCTGTATGGAGAGTCGCGGACAGAGTTGATCTTGATGTGAAGTACCACATAAGTGAAAACTGGAAGGGATCCGCATGGTCAAGACCCTCATGACATAGGTTATTGTTTACGCAGAACTACGCGAATCTAATCGCAACAGTGGGGAACTTAATCGAAATGGAGATTCGCAATACAAATCAGTGGAAT